TCAATAGTTATAATGTTACTTTAACGAAAATTTGACTTGCTAATCACTTTTTAAAATGACATATGTATTTTAAAGCAGCGGAAGAATCATGAATTGCCGAGTTTTATTTTAATCAATAATCCATTAGGAAGAAATTGTGTCTAGTTTTTAAGCGTTTCTAACCTCATTTTGTTGGTGCTTTTATTCATCATCCAACCATATGTGGTAAAGGGGTGGGAAGGGATTCTGGAGTTCAAGAAAACTTGTGCAGGTTATACAGCTCCCCCATTCGTCACATAGTTATTTAATGATCTTTGACGAAAATAAATATTGTAATATATGATATTTATTGAAGGTGTATCCGCACCCTGTCCCGTGTCATGCAATCTCTTCTTGATTCGCCCCGTCCTGCATGTCTGCTATGATCACCGTTGCTACCAACATCATAGCTATGGACATCTGTGAACAGATGCATAATTTGATACTCCCGGCAAACTCCCAACAATTTTGATCTTGTATTTCTCAAATAATAATTTGTTGACCGACCGACGAACTATTATTGCGCTACTGGAATACAAATATACATTTAGAAGATAACTTTATGGAATTTTAGAAACATTTAATTATCTTTGCAGTTTTCGAGATATTTGCAAAAGAAAATAACTTAAATTTTGTTTTAAGGTTTACGAAAGGAAAATGGGGGTAATTTAATGATGGACAGACGGACGGACTGATGTTTTGAAAATACAACAACACATTTTCAGTTTCAGGGATCCCGACAAAGTGTATTTCCGTTGAAATATCAAAATCGATTTCCCCAGTATTTCATAACTTTCTGTATACTACATATTTTACTCCGTATATATGTATGTGTTCGAAAAAGTAATAACGTATAAACAAACATGTGTTTAGGACCTCTATTAAAAAATGAAATCAAATGAACAAAAAACACATGATTGAGTTCTCAAAATCTAACGACTTTAAATACGTAAATACTTTTAGTAAGTATCTTTCACTTTACTTATAATTTGAATAAAACCTGATTGGTATAAAATTGTCAATTGTATGTAATGAACGCTATTAATTCTCTGTGACACTTTTGTAAGAAACTTTCATCTCCCTCTAAAGGTCGTAATTGGGATATTTTGTAATGTCTTATTACTATATTATTTATATTTTACTATACATTATTATAACATACTATATATTATTTATACTCTTCCCTTTGAAATAACAAAATTTATCATTAAAGGTTTCCTATCAAAAGATAAACATCTCTCATGGGACAAAAGCTAACATCGTATTTAAATAGCATACAAACTCGATTCCAAAACTCTTAAAACAGAATTGGCTTATCAGAGATCTTTTTTCAAAATAAATATGCCTTCTTACAACAAAGAAAGGTAAGTAATTTTTAATCTTAGATTCAAACATGAAATAAAACATTTAAGGTTTTGGCGAAGCAAGAAATACAGGTCTCTTAGTTTTAGAAATGACGAGTGATTACCATACCAGTCACGAATCCGGAAACACGTTTTCTCACATTATCCGCGTCGTCCATTGCAGTGCGTTAAAAACCTGCATTGAGTTTTCATTTCAGAGTTTCATATTAATACATAGACCAAAAATATAAACGTATTAGAGGAAAGAGAAATACGAGTACATGTGTTTAATTTCGAAATTAACAATGTTTCAGAGTTACAAATATTGTTGATATACGTTAATTCTTCATAAACTATTGTCACTACGAAAACCACATGCACTTCGGTTTGATGATAATATTATTCAATATTCGATGTTCAGTATTCAGTGTTCAATGTTATCCCACGCATTATTTTTTATCGGTTTTTGTTTTATTTGTAACTTTATTTTCTTCAATAGAAATGTACTTTCTCATATATTCGATGAGCACTTCTTTCTCCAACAATGAAAATTTCGCACCTCTCTCTCTTTCCCCCATTACAAAAACTCAATAAAAATAACCTGTTTGTACCAAAGTACAGAACAGATCCAAAACAAACAAGGTTGATTATGGTCACTGGCTGGTTCAGCAAGGTCCAACTTTGCCAACCAACTCTCGTATACATTTGAGTTATACTTCACTAAGCATTACTTTAAAGAGAGTGGTGAAAAGACGATACACATGACTTAAAACGCGCCTTAAAATTAAAGATGCCTTTACCAAATCTTACTTAATAAGTATTTGGTGAAACCGGCCGTAAAACGCGATTAGGGGGATTTTTAAGGCACCAACGGAAATGACCAATATTGCTCATTCGATTGATCTTGACAACACGAATCGTTTGGCATTCTTTTTGTCAGCATCATTTTAGAATATTCTAGTATAATTAAAAAAAAATTGGAGTGGGAGGGTCCAGGTGTCTTTAGTGGTGAAACGTAAAATATTGTTCTGCCCATCCGGCGTGACGTGAATGCAAATGTTCAGGACACGATTCTAAAGACTGATTATATGTAAACATAATCCTGTAGTGAAACATATTATGTAAAAAAAGTACTTCTATTGATACTTTTGATATTCCTCTCTGACATACAGTACACTCGAGCAAGGCAAATGAATTGTGTTTAAAAATATTTTTGTTATGGGCTTGTAGAGAAATAAACATTTCAACATGAAAGTACCTGACGGAGGTGCCAGCTAAGGTAGTTTTATATGAATTATTATTCCTTCTGTCGACATTTTTTAGAACTCTCTCACACTGCATAAAGTGTTTAGGACGCAATCATCATATATCACGGTCGTGTCATTAGCGCACTGTCATACATAATTGTCTTGGAAAGCGGTCGAATACTTTGGCTTTTAAATGAGAGAGATTGTGATGAGGTTTCCGCTATGCACAGAACCAAGGATTCGCCGTGGCTCTCATATCGTATCAGGGAAACAAATATACGCGGGAAGCGTTGAAATATTCGCCTTAAATCTGGCTCCTCCGTGAGGGCATAACGAGGCATGCTGAGGGGATTTCTAGCGAAAGAGGATTTTGGTCAGTCCGCCGGATTAAGGAGGGAGGTGCTGCGAGAGTTCTCTCAGAGTTAGAGCGTGGTGGGCGTCTGGCGTGTACGCTGCTGTGAGCGTGCTGCTGAAATCTCATTTCCTTTCACAAACAAAGACTTACTGTTGACGATCCGTCATCGTATGACGCTTTTATGAAGACGTACGCTCGGAATAGAAAGTACTTAAGTGTACGTGGCGTGCTGTAGAGTGTAACGTGATAAAAAGCGCAAGTAAAAATAATTTTAAGGCGTTAATGTAATGGAAAGACTCTTATAAATATGATCCGATCTTTACTTTTTTATTTAGCTTATATGATGGATATGTCTTTGATACCGGTGAATAAGCTCTTTAATCATGAATGCTTAAATTTTAGAGGGGAGCCACAAACAACTTTCTGCTGATGTATATCTGAGCTTAATTATTTCAATCGTAACAAAAATACAAATAGTTTACTTTGAAAATCACCTTCGTTTGAATATCGATAATTCCTGATTCACTTCAGTTAAAAGATGTTTTTTGCTCTCCTGTAAAATTTAAGCATTCGTGACTTATCAGCTAATTCACCTGGGTCAAAGATATTAAAACAGGCTTTAATAATAAAACATATTATTTTGGATTACACGTGAAATGAGTAAAAGTTGAAACGATTTTAATCACAATAGAAGCAACGCTCTACTTTAAAAAAATGCGGTGGTGGCCTTTTTTCTGCTAAGCTCCCGTTCTTATAGCTGTGCGGCATTGTGGAAGCTTCTTACAGGCAGAGAAATGCAAATAAATGGTATGCGGGTTGCGTCCTGCTAACCATTCGTCTGCGGAGTCCACAGATGTCAGTCTGGGATGCCGTGATATTAGAAATATGACATCGACAGCAAAACCATTGGTGTTTCAAAACATGGATTATTAATTAAACATCGTTGGTATTAATACATTGATCTAAGCAATTACTGAACATCAATGTTCAGTAACCTATAACATATACATTCACGTGGAGGGAAATTTAATTTAACGGCACGGGTGTTTATTAATTTATAATTAAGATTTATCTAAATTAAAAAATAATAACAAATAATAAACCAGCCTGAAAGCCCGAGCATTCAGTCATCTTAAAAATTACAGCTACCTCGTTTCGCCGAGGAAGGGACGCAGGAAAAAGGGGAGAATCTACGCCTACTGCACATGCATTGAACAGCCATTTCGCGTACGAAGTACGAGGAAAGGCGCAAGAAATATCACATATCGGGATCATCTCTCGGAGGAGAGATAGTCCGCTCAATGTCGGTAGTATAAAGAGCTTTCGCATCGTTCCGATAATTCAGCTGACAGTCAGGTATTTCTTCATTTTTTAACTTTTACAAAATTGTGATTGTGAAACTTTTTCATTCACAAATAAAATATAAAAAACATAAAAATATTGATCTTGAAGAAACTTTGGCTTTAATCAATCGATCTTTAAAACATCGACGTTTTTAACATCGATGTTTTAATTACACCGACTTCCATGTCGCAACCCACATGACATGCTCAAACTTTACGAGGATGTAGTTGCAGCGAACATACGAGGAACATGCGTACATACATTCACACGTATATGCATACGTACGTACATACATTCACACGGAATTATGAAGTTTTTTTTACAGATTTCTTTGCGTGATTCGCAATGAATTTGAAAAAAAATACTTTGAATTACGGTGTCATTTGCATTCGAGTTATGCCTAAAGCAATGAAGCAAGAAGTTACTAACTACATACGTACAACGTATATACGTTCATACGTACATATGTACTACATACATACTTACATCCGTACGTTCACACATACACAAGACGTCTTTATAGCACTTGAAGTGGTACTCACGCATGCTGCGCCAGTGCTTCTTCCTGGGCTTGGCCCTGCACGCAGCGGGGCCGCCGCACGCATTGTACCAACGCGCCGTCGCGCGCCCCCCGCCCCGTCCCCGGCGCCCGCCGCGCCAACCGTGGCGTTGGGCCGAGCTCTTGCTGTCACTTGCTGGGGCCGGCGGCGGCGGCGGCGGGAGGAGTGAGGCGGCTGCGCAGCGGGCGGGCCGGGCAGCCGCCGGTGGTCGGGTCGTGGTGTCGTGGTGGAGGTGGCGGGCCGCGGCCTTCGCCGCCTCTGCGCGCGCCTCCATCCGCCAGCTCCGCTGCAGGTCGCGTCGCCGCGCGGGGCGGCGGGGGTGGCGGTGCGGCGGGCGCAGCGGCGGCGCCTCCGCGCCCGTCCCCGCCTCCGCCCCCGCCTCGCTCGTCAGCTCGAACTCGCGGATCTGCGCAGCGCAGCGCGCGCGGGTCAGGTGAGCGAGGGTGGACAAAACACTGTTGATTGAAAGCTTTAATTTCTGCGCCCGGAGTCAATAGATGCTTGGCTGCCCGGGAGAAATCTCGACCAAGGAACCGCTGCCAACTGTGACTAGGATGCGAAGTCTTATCTAATGTCTTACGTTAGTGCTAACAAGTGTCGGTGAGGCTGCTACATAATTATTTAGGAAACAAATGGTCCCATTAATTACTAATTGAGGTGTATTTACTGACCCCAAATATGGAGATCAAAACATTGAAAGGTCAACTGTGGTTTGTTTGCTGAACAGGAGTAATGTGGTACAAATATTTATTATACCTGTTAGTGTTAATGTCTATTTTTTGGTAAATGTTAAGTGTTGCTATACATTTTTGTTATTTTTATTAATAAAAATTGCACAGTAAATATATTATAATTTTTTAAATAACGCTGAATAAAAATTAACCAGACATATTTAAGATAACACAATTATTAATAAAAATACGCACAAACATTTTCCTGAAAATTACTATGAATAGAAAAGTACTTCAATGACATTATCATAAACACATTAAACAGTGGACAAAAAACATCACACTATGTAGCAAAACTTTTGAGTTACTGTGGTTCACTATTCAGTGGCACAAAATGTATTTGAACGCTGTCACATGTAAGACAAATACTCGGGAAAATGTATAACTCTGAGCTCACGCTGATAGGAGTATCAGTGCTGCCAATATCTCAATTTTTTAATGCTTGTGGTGTGAGAATCGGATGTTACTAGTCATTGGTTCATCACGTGTAAACAAACAGTTCTTTTTGTATGCTTATAAATAACAAAATAATCATGGAAGAACAACATTTATGATACGCATGCAATTGCAGGGAACATTAACACATCTTGAAAACATTTGTACATTCAAGCCGAGGTCTGTAAGTCAACAACTGCCGATGGTGGGTTTATTTACACTTGTAGTACGTATAGAACAGAATACCGCATTGTTATTTCATCTATGCCAAATAAACCAACACCTTATATCAACATTGCGCGTTTCGCTAAAATAGATTTTACATCACAAAATGCAAAATATTCACAATTACGAATTGCTATTTACGAGAATGAGTGTCCATCGACCACAATAATTTTTAAAACATATTTTGTTCGTGGGGTGCAATAGTGGCACAACTCATAAAGTCAGATGCTGAGATAAAATTGTTTGAAGTTTTCACCTTGTATTGAAATGCATCATTTTTGCATTCACACTCCTGCCATTTGTTGGTGGAATACTGTATTGTAAGATATGCTGCGAGTTCCCATCGTCCCACGAGTCTCCCCCTTCATTGCCTACTCACCTCAGCGCGTTCTGGTGCGGGGGAAACTGACCGACAAATGAAGTCACAATAGTTAATTTTGACTCGCAAATTTGATGGACATTATTCCTGAAGGCGGTTTTAATAAAAGATGCAAGAAATTTACAGTCGCATAACCCAACAGGGAACAATAAATGGTTAAATATTAAACAGCTGACACCTTCGCGCTGCTCATCATATACCATTTTGATTAGGTGTAAACATAAAGAAGTGAAGTTTAAATCAGAGGGTTTGAGGTTCACAATAAATAAATACTTTGTACTTCTGTATATACTTTGTACAAATTAAATTATTTGCTAATAATATACGTAGTACAGAATGATACTAGAATTTTAGATGGTTATCAATAGTAATAATTTTGTATCATTTGCCATCCATTTCCGGTAATTGAAGACAAATTGAATTTCTGAAGCCAGACTCTTCACTCCAGTCATCGTGTGGCCCCGGTAACGCCTTTGTGTTAAGATGAAATGATTATGCTAACGATGAAGATAACGATGATAACGGAAAAGAGTAAGTGAGAATGAAGATGGAGATTATAAAATTAGAAGCTGAAATAATGAGGGAACTCAGAGGAAGTGTGCTTTCAATCCGCTTTGTCCTCCAGAAACTCCATTTGGATCGGTCGGGTGTTCTAACTCCAGTCTGCTTCTACATCCCAAGTTTCTCATATCAATAGCATTGATGATGAAGTTTTCGAATCCTCAAATCCGTCGAATGTTGAAAAAATTCCAAATTCGAAAATATTAATCTTATTTTTTCGGTATTCGAATGCTATGCTTTTAATTTTTTATTCTTATTAAGCTAATGATTTTGTGGTTTTACTGTTAGCTTTCAGAGTTTGTAATTTTCTATTTGGATAAATGTATCACGAGAACAGAGTTACTTATTTGGTGCTGCGCGGGATCCGTTCATAATAACAAGTTTTCGATTTACATAATCTCATTAAAATTAAATATAATTCATTGAAATTGTTCGACAAACAGTAAAATAGACGCACATAATTTCACATTCCATTCTTCGAAGAAATTTCAAACGAAGCACTAACTTGAGAATCTTTGATTATTGTAACGGAAAGAATGAAACGACAAAACAAATAGTGTTGCGGGAACTTGTAGGAGAGACAATCTAGCATATAAAACGACCGTAAAGAAAGAGAACGCTTGCAGGGGAGAAGAGCATGGCCCATGAAGACCGGTCCTGACTGCTTCCCCATTCCGAGAAAATCGAAGGCGAGGTCAAGCAGTAAATACTCGCGGAATGTAAAACGTAAAGAAGGGAAGGAAGGCAGGGAATCAATCGAGAGGGTCACGAAAGTGGACCGTTGGAATCCTTATTTCAATAGTACGATGTCGAGTTTTATGGTCCCTTCGAGGATATTTTCATAGATCATCAAGGGAAGTGGGGCTCACAGAACAAAGAACGTTATGCAAATTGCTGGGGACAACGCTTGGACCTGCAGTATCAATGAAATTGAACAAATAGCCCTAAAGGGCGGAAAGGATGGTGAGAATATTGGGATTTCCAGAGTAGGCACTTTCATGAACTCCCCACCACATCGGTACGATGTTAAGAACTCAATGAATATTGGAAAGATAATTGGGGAAGGATTGAAAGAACAAATTAAATGTACAAAGAATTTAATTTATTACATAATCCGAAAGCGCTCGTCACTAAAAATGGGCAGTAAATTTCATACTGTTTAATTTCAACATGGATAGCGTCTTTAATAAAGACACAATCATAATCTTTATTAGACTAATTATTGAATAAATTTAAAAAAAATACGTATTAGGAGATTATTGCAAATTTGATAGATATTCAGGATGGTTCCAATTGCTTCTAAATCTCTGAAAGCGAGCTGCAGAACGGTAGACGATAAATATGTATGATACGAATCCTCGTATCCTGTTCTTGCAATGAAGCGTCCTATAGTGACAACTTTCGACCCAGACGGCACGTTCGCATTATTGTGAGAATGGTGTCCAAAGTGATACTCGTGAGTACTGCATGTTTTAACACGGAAGATACCGGCATTAGTCCCTTGTTGGAATATGAGATCCGGAGCCAAACTACACGTCGATTTGCGGAGTTCCTCCCTTCAGATATTCCACAGCGAGATACCGCCTCAGTCTGGGCTAGCTCTAAACTCTAGACAGATATTCCGTTATGTGTGGTAATGCAGTTTATGTTGACGTGTTTGTGTAAGCTGAGAGAAGAGAGGATACGGATGAGGAATGGAAGATCGTGCGAGATCCGCGGCCCGTTTGTTAGGTTACTGTCCGGGAAGTCTCCTGATACTCGCGGAAAACCACGGTTCTAAGCAAGCGACCAATCGAATTCTCCTCCAGTCAGTGGTTGAATTCGATGAAATTATGATGTCAGTGTAAAAAAAGCTACTGTAGAATCAGAATCTCTGACATCCCCGGCGGTGACGTAGCGATTCCATAAGCCAGTGTTCCGTGATTCTTTTTATTGCCAAAATAATCTTTCTCTGACAATTTCCTGGCGATGGTCATTTCAATTTTTTCGCCGAAGTGGCATCATCAACGATAACTCCCTTCTCGGTGATCCGACGGTAATTTTGAATTCTCTTTTATTTGAGACATCAAAGTAATGAAATATTTGTTGATGTTAGATAATTTCCCTTGAATAGTGGAAGTAAGAATTCATAATACGTCCTCGATGCTCCTACAGATTAAGTTTGCGTTTGCCAATTCATACATCTCCTACAGATTAAATCCTCCATCTGTCTGCCATCCAGCTTTATTTCATATGAACACTTACGAGGCGTCCCGAACACCTGCCTAATCGCTTGTTTCGCCCCGCCATTGTCCTGTAATGCCGTAACAAAAGACATCGGATCGTATCCTGCACAAAGACGAAGCGCTTCGCGTCCCGTGGTCCGAATCGAACGGAATCGAATCGCGTCGGAAGCCTATTGCCTATCGAGAGGGAGTGCGAGTGCGCTCGTAGCGCGCGGAGCAGACGGCGCGTGCATAACCATGAGGTAGCAACCTCCCTCCCCTCGGACGTTTACGCACTCAGCAGTCATTCAACGGCCCTTGGGGCCCGATAGGGCCCTTGGGGAGGAGATACTGCCAGCGGAGACTCGCCGCGGAGACTGACCTCGTGGATCAGGCGGCGATGCAAGGATGGAGAAGGGGGTTTAAAGGAGAAATGGCGCACAAAAGGGAGGCGAGAGACTCCAAATGAAATCGGAGACATCAGAACGAGCTGAGGAGGCAAGGAGGCGTAAGAACAGGGCAGAACGAAGTGTGATTGGTGGTGGGGTGATGTTTGTGTGAGGGAGAAAAAGCTGGAGAGAGAGGAAATAGAGATACGATGAACAGAAGAGAGACACGAGAGAGGAGACCTAGGCACGAACAATAAGAGAGGGTGTGAAAAGAAAGAAAGCAAGGACGCAAAGGAAAAGTGAATAAACGGAAAGTGTTAGGTTAACTGAGACGAAGATAAATAATGAGATACATTTGTGTATATGCGTGCGAGGGGCAGAGTGTGACAGGACAGTGGGCGTGCGCAACAGGGAGTGACAGACAGAGAGACGGAGAGAGAGGAATAGAAAGAAAAAGAATGAGAGATAGAGTCAAAAAGAGA